ACAAACCATCATGTCGACTAATCAGCCCAACCAAATCAGAGATAGGACATATAAGTAAAGTGATCCTCGACAGAATCGTCGGTAAAGTCATAAGCGCGACAGGATTCAACCTGTGGAAAAGCACGGACGCCGTACTGGACTGGTATAAGAAAATCCCAAACAAGCAAGAATCGAGCTTCATAAATTTCGACATTGTGGAGTTCTACCCCTCGATAACGGAAAAGCTTCTCCTGAAGGCCCTAGGGTTCGCGGAAAACTACGAGAGCATTAGCAGCAAGGAGAAAGATATCATCATCCACGCGAAACAGACAGTGGTATTCAACGACCAGGTACCGTGGAAAAAGCGTAATGCAGACAGCAAATTCGATGTCACGATGGGCAGTTTCGACGGCGCGGAGTCATGCGAGCTGGTCGTAGCATATCTGCTGTCGATCTTGAAACCAAAGTACGGAAATAGAGTGGGACTATACAGGGACGACGGTCTGGCAGTATTCAAGGAGACCCCCAAGAAAATAGAAAACATCAAGAAGGAAATATGCCAAGTATTCCGGGAAAATGACTTAAAGGTAACGATCGAAGCCAACAAGGCAACAGTAAACTTCCTTGACATCACATTAGACCTGCGAACGGGAGGGTACAAGCCATACATGAAACCAGGTAATGTACCTCTCTATGTACATGTCCAGTCAAACCATCCACCCGCCGTCATCAAACAGATACCAGAGGGAATCAACAAGCGACTCTCCAACATCTCGTCGAGCAAGGAGGCATTCGAGAAAGCTGCCCCGGCCTACCAGGAGGCTCTGCAAAAAAGCGGGCACAAGTATCGATTGACGTACACACCGGGCAATAACACCAGAAAAAGGACTAGAAAAAGGGAGGTGACATGGTACAACCCGCCATACAACAAGAGCGTACGTACCAACATTGGAAAGAAATTCCTTCAGATAATAGACAAATGCTTCCCCAAGGAACATAAGCTTCACAAAGTGCTCAACCGGAACACAGTAAAGTTATCGTACAGCTGCATGCCGAACATGAAGGCAACGATCCAGTCAATCAACAAACGGAAGGTAAAACAGGAGGACGACGTCGGTGGTAGAACATGCAGTTGTCCCCGCAATGCCGAATGCCCGCTGAACGGGGAGTGCCTCAGCAAGAACATAGTGTACCAGGCCACCGTCACGAGCGAAGGCAGGAAGGAGGCATACGTCGGGCTGACGTCCACAACCTTCAAGGCGAGACTGGCGAACCACAAGCAGTCATTCAGATCCGAGAGCAAGAGGGCGCAAACAGAGCTAAGTAAACATATATGGGACTTAAAGGACGAAGGGAAAGACTATGAAATCAAATGGGACATAGTTCTGAAAGCACTGCCATACTCTAACGTAAACAAGAGATGCAATTTGTGTATAGCAGAGAAGTACATAATCATATGTAGGCCAGATCTAGGTACACTGAATAAGAGAAGCGAAATCGTCTCCAAGTGCAGGCATCGAGACAGATGTGTTCTTACTTCAGTGACGTAAACGCGTACTAACTTCAATGACGTAACGCGCGTAACGCGTGCGCGCGCTTGATTCGAAATAAGGTAAGATGCTACTTGTATTCTATTTTTCGTCATTCTGCTGATGAGTGCCTTATGGTACGAAACAGTCTGTTCAGAAAGAGAATATTCTGAATTTATTGCATGTATATAGCTCTACAGAGATGTATCGAGCACTGTGAATTGTGATAGAAGACGATTTCATTGGATATATATATATATATATATATATATATGCAATAAATTCAGAATATTCTCTTTCTGAAGGTAAGATGCTACTTGTATTCTATTTTTCGTCATTCTGCTGATGAGTGCCTTATGGTACGAAACAGTCTGTTCAGAAAGAGAATATTCTGAATTTATTGCATGTTTATAGCTCTACAGAGATGTATCGAGCACTGTGAATTGTGATAGAAGACGATTTCATTGGATATATATATATATATATATATATATATATATATATATATATATATATATATATATATATAAACCTCCGATTACAAAGAGTGGTGACGTCAAAAGTCACGTGTAGTCGTCAATCATCTACCCATTTCCTTCGCTCTGACAAAAATATATTTAATGTCGTTGGTGACATGCTGGGGCTCGAACCTCCAACCCCAAGACTGCCGATAGAAGAACGTCAGTCATTCGACTGAGCTACTGGCTCGCACTTACCAAACAGGGAATTTATAATAATTATGCATAAACCTAGGATTGCTAAGAGTGCAGTGGTGACGTCAAAAATCACGTGTCGTCGTCAGTCGTCCATCCCACCCCCCTGACGAAAAAACTAAATGTCGTTGGTGACATGCTGGGACTCGAACCTCCAACCCAAAGACTGACGATTGAAGAACGTCACTCTAACGACTGGTCTATCGGCTCACGCTTACCAAACAGGGAATTTATGATATATATAAACCTCCGATTGCTAAGAGTGGTGACGTCAAAAATCACGTGTCGTAGTCAGTCCTCCACTCCGACGAAAAAAAACCCCGAATGTCGTTGGTGACATGCTGGGGTCTCGAACCTCCAACCCCAAGACTGACGATCGAAGAACGTCACTGTACCGACTGGGCTACCGGCTCGCACTTTGTAGTAGGGAATTTATAATATATATAAACCTCCGATTGCAAAGGGTGGTGACGTCAAAAGTCACATGTAGTCATCAGTCCCCCACCCCATCCCCTTCGCTCTGACCCCTACCAACCCCTATGACGAAAAATAATAAATGACGTTGGTTACAGCCTGGGGCTTGAAACTCCAACCCCTAGATAAGATGTTCTGAGAACGTCACTCTACCGACTGGGCTACCAAGCTGGGAATTTATTGTGTATGTAAACCTCCGGTTACAAAGGGTGGCGACGTCAAAAGTCGCGTGTCGTCGTCAGTCCCTACCCCACCCCACCCCACGTTTTCTAAAGAATTTTTAAACATCAGACATTATTCTATAATTCTCGTAGGAAGAAAAATATTCTTCAATAAAAAAAGGAACAAAATAATCTAAATATAATTGAACAAAACCCCTTTCTGCGTCTGACGCTTTGATTTCTCTGAAGTCCAGCGAATAATATCACAACGGTCCCTGGCTGCTGTTGTAGCCGGCCTGAACACCTTCTTCTGTCTTATCCACTGTACACCAATCATATTATCAGATCGTACAGGAGAGGTACAAATAAGTGAGTTTTGTTGGACTTTTCGTGAAAAGGGGACTCGTTACAATTTCTTTTTTGGGGGGGGGGTATTACTCCCATTACCCCCACGCACGGTCGCTACGCCATTGATATATCGGTTCTGGTAAATCTTTAGGACTGAACGATCCCCAAATGGATGACGTTGGCCTTTCGGACGTAATTAGGCTAATGGTTTTTATGTTCAATCAAGCTCATTATAGAAACAATGATGATTGATGATGTTTACATTTCGTTGGCATCTTTCCTCTCTGCGTTAATTATTGTAAAAAGCAAAAACTATCTCAGTTTTTTGTTAATGCATGAAGTTGTGTATATATTGTATATCTTGGTTTTTTTTATTATACCATTACGCTAGAACTATAGCTGTGTTATAAAGTAATATTATTTTATACTCAAAAACTTGTTAACATTATATCACTATAGTTTCATTGATTTCGTTGTTCGTCATTCGTCAAGTAATGCTCGGAGGTGAGGCTCAGAAAAAAATGTTTAATGCATTAATGGAACTATGAATAAAATAGAAAAATACATAACTTCTACCAGCTGCCAAAGTATAGAATTCTATTTTGTTAAATTTGTGTTGTATTTTCGAGTAGTAACCGTTTTGCAATGAAGTGATTGACAGGGGGAGGGGAGCGGTGAAGGGGTAGCCGACACCCCTGGGCCGCCGAAAAAGCCCCCCCCCCCCCGACGCCCCAAAGAGGGACCGCACGCCATATGAACAATTTGATGCGCCGGTGCATATAGTACGTTTTAACTAAGCTTGTTGCATATTACTCATAGTTGCTGTTGTAAATTTAACCAAAAGAGCACTCTATCTGTTTAAAAATAGTTTCTTCGATAATATATAATTTAAGGATATTGTTTTTTTTTCTAGGCCCTACATAATATGAACACATAATAATTTCAAAAAAGTTGCGCAGACACCATAAAATGGTTCTAATTCGCATTATAAAATCCGAACAATATTGTTAAAAATATTAAAATTACGGATTAAAATTGAACATTAGTCTTAAAAATAAAATTACATATTTTAGAGAACACTGTCAAACTTAATGAAACTTAATATTAGAAAAGAAACATTCCTTCACTTTGTTTACGTTGTTGCCTTTATGGGATTCCGAATTATTTACAAACTTAAAAACTGATTTCAACTAGCATATTACTTTCAAGTCGATTGCACAATCCAGACACGCTCACCAAAAGATTAAGCAACAACACAATAATTCTTTTTATTTAATTGATCAAACTATTTACCAAAAAAAGTTGACGGCAGAAATTGATATTTCAAATTGTGAAAGGCGTTGAAATAACTTTACATACAGTGGTGCACCCAGGATTTGGCTTGGGGGGGGGGGGGGGCTCACAATTTGTCAAATTTTTTAGAAGTTTCCGTTCTTTTGCAAACAAAATGGCCAAAATTTTGGCTGCAGAAAAAGAATTCCTTTGAGGCTATTTTGACGTTGGTGGCGCTACTTACACCCGCTCGCAAAATAGGCCAAATCAATATCACCAAGGTCAAATCGTGGGACAAAAAATAAAATAAAAAAACCCTACAAAACCCTGGGGGGGGGGGGGGGGGGCTCAAGCACCCCGAGGTTCCCCTTGGGTGCGCCACTGTTTACATAGGCCGGCCTACTGCTACAGTTCTAAAATCACATTTCTTAAAATCTTTTTTTTTTCAAGTAAAGTTACTACTTCAATAAATGGGACTTCTTAAGGTCAACGATTATTTATATGTACATCTGTATTTCGCAATGCTAATACTCATTGAGATGTTTGGGCACCTCGTACACGGCTCTAGGCAGCTGATAAGCATCCCTGTTATGCTTCTGAAACTCAAGGCACAAGTACCCGTAGTTGTCCAACGCTTCGTAATTGTTCTCATCGGGTACCGGACCAGGCTTGGGCGGCGGGACGGGCGGGAGCTGTTTGGAGTTGGTCTGGTACCTAGACCGCTCATCGCCCAAGTTACTGATGTTGTTGATTGTCTTGGGAATGGGTGGCATGGAACGTGATCCAGCCCTGGATAGATTTCGTTTGGTCCTGTTGAAAAGGCAATTATGAAAAAAATGTTACTGAAATTTTAATTAGGAGGGTTTAAAGTTGGTACGTATATAGGCCTGTCGGCCTACGTGCCTTTCCAAATTTTGATTTTCTTTTCCCGAACGAAATTTAATGGAATGCAATGTCATGTAACAATCAATTTGCTTGTTTGTTTTGCAGGCCTAGCCTGTGCGCCCCAGTTCAGAAATTGTGCCCACTCTTCAGAACGAATTAGGACCGTCCCGCTCTCAATTCAAAAGTTGAAATTAATTAATTGATTACTTGTCGTGGGGCGATTGTTTTCGTGCGATGTCTCATTGGAAAGCTCATAACTAATATCATGCTAGAAATTATCAAATCGATTTCAAAATCTATTTTTCAAGGTGCCACAACCAAAAGGCACGCATACACCAAATTTAAGCTATAATTTTGGCAACAAAGCGTAATTGTCGTTGATAACGAGTAAAAACCCGGCCTTTTTTTGGTACATGTATCAGCTAAATTTCGCCAGCATGACATGTTTTTGGTGTTTAGGAAACGTCTTTGAAGTCATGTTTGTGCCTAGTGAGGCTTGTACTTTATGGTTAATAACTTTGAATATTCGGTCCTAAATACGCAACGGAAACAAAACAGCCTGAACATGGAAAGACAATTGTTTAACTGATAAAAAATATAATGCTGATATCTGTTGACAAAGTCTAGGCATACCTGAAATACATCAGTCCAAAACCAGCGGCCGCAATAAGGGCAACAGACAATGTACAACCGACAATCACGGTGCTTGTGCTGGAACAGTAGAAATTGTCTCCAGAGTGTGTCACTGCCCCTTTAAAGAGAAAAAAACCCAATTGTTTGTTAACAGATGTTTACGGTCGGAAGACACAATTAGTTTTCATGTAAAAATATACCAAAATATTGAGGAACATAAGCAAAAGTCTGTTTCAATTGAAAACTTCATGCAAGATAATTTGTCGCAATGCTTTTGCAAACAGTGGCTTCGATTTTTTTTTAAATGAAAGTGTCATTACTTTGACCCCAAAAAATGCCCTAAGGAGTAGCTTTAAAAAAATAATACGGGCAAGCAGAGGTTTTGTTTAACATTCTACAAATACGTAGTTTTACCATAAGAGATAATTCTTATGCTGAAATTCGCTAGCGCTGTACTCAGGACATGAAATGTAGCTCGCAACGCATTGTGGGTTGAGCGTGCGTGTGCGTTTGTTTATGGTGTAAATCGAGGACACACACACGCGCAACATCATCGATGAATCGAGGACAGGAACCAAATCAAGGACTCCTCGGTTAGAAAACGTGTACAAAACCAATGAGAGCTGTTGCAAAAAAGTTGGAGTATAAACAAAGGAAAAGGGAAGAGGAACAATAGAAAAATCCACGCTTTACACCATAAACAAACGTGGATGCGCGTGTCGTGCGCATGTTGGGTAGACCTCATAGTTCATTGGTTAACAAAAAAAACTATTGAATGAAAAAGAAATTATCAAAGAAATTATCATCAGCGCCCTGGCAGTGGTAGTCTTTGAAATATGCCCAGCCCTTGCACAACACGGATCTGTGATATGCGAGCAGATCTGGCGATTATGCAAAACAATACTGCATCTTGACCTCGAGGTTCTGACCATTCAGCGGGCGCCTTCATTAGCGGGTCTTCGGTGACCCGTTGTTGTATTGCAAAATAATGGCAGCCAAATTTAACAGCTTAGTCGACATTTCTGATCGAAGTGACGTCACAATTTCTAAAGTCGATTCCGATTGGCTTGTGCGCGGGGTCGCATAAAACTTGCATTTCTCACAAATATCAGACGTTGGTTACGGAGAGGACTCCGTTGGACAACGGGTGATACTCGGACTACGGCAGTGGTTGGTACGGGCGAAAAGCTGAAGTTTCGCCTGGCGGGAAAATTAAAGAGAGATCTATAGACTATAGTTTTCTTCATTGCTATAACCCGTGGTCTATAATGATGAGAATTATGTCACACTAGGCTCACCTTCGTTTCCAGAGTGCGTGACGTTGACGTTGAAAGAACACATGTCCAGCGGTTCACAAAGGGAGACGTTCTGCCAAACCTTGTACGTGAACTCGTGGTTACCAGTCGGGAGCAGGGTACCAGCTTTGACCGTGGCATTCTGGGAGTTGAAAACTCGAAGCACGTGACTGCTGTTGCCGCCAATCACCGTCGGTGCAGACCACGTGACATAGGCCTTGACCTGATCTGGCGGCAGGGCGACTTGGAAATCCTGAGGGCAGCTCTGTACAAAAGGTTCTTCCGAATGGAAAGCCAAGGTCCAAATTAGGATCTAAGCGGGGAACTTTAAAAAAAACCCTGATTATCTAACTGCAAAAACACCGTAGAAATAGCCGTTGTACTGATAGAAGTTGCTTCAAGGAAACGTACACAGTGAAAACAGACTCTTAGGTTCACTGTTAGGTTCACAAACTTCAAGTCTTTTTTTTTTCCTTTGAAGGAGACTCTGCTTGAATTGGAGCGATATGGATGTCACTATTTGAAATTGAGATGCTCTTTTTGAAATAGAGATATCTCTTTTTGAAATAGAGAAGTTTCTTTTTTTTAAATAGAGAAATCTCTATTTGAGATAGTGATATCTCTATTTCCATTTCTAATAGAGATAACTTTATTTCTTGAATTAAATTACTTGAACTTGGCACGCATGGAAGTAGAGATAATTATGTATCTCCATTAAAATGAGAGATATCTCTATTTAGGAAATAAATGTTAAATGTGCACACCATACATATCAAAATGTATACAGGTATAATTATAGTCTTACCCGTTCGTCCTGTGACGTTGACGTAGAAAGTACATCCTTGCACACGGCTCGTAGTATTATATCGATATTCCACTTTGTGAAGCCCGATTGGGAATGGAGACCCAACTGCGTCTGGAGCAATGACCAACGTCGTGTTGAATGAAGCTCTTACTTGGGGCTCGGCCCAAGTGACGTAGGCGTGTGTCTCACCATGGGGCAGGTTAACACTAACGTTCTCCGGACAACTCTCAAACGGATCAACTGATAAATCAAGAAATAAGAAAAATACATATCATATTTTGTATGGGTACAGACAGAAGAAATATTACGTTTATTGAAGCAATTGACTAAATTAACCGCAATCTAACTTTAATTTGAAGATAATGTGAATGTAATTTTTACATCGTACACCAACACTATTTGTGAACTAACGTCATGAATCTGAGATTCACGTCTCTTTATAGCCGTACACCAAAATGGCTGCATCAAAAGGCCAATAATTATTGAGTGGAGTGCTGTGGCCTCATGGTTCAGGGCATTGGATTCGTGGTCTGCGGGTAATTCTGCAGGTTGAGGGTTCGAGTCCGGCCTGGGGTCATGGTGCGTGTGCCCTTGGGCAAGGCACTTTGTCACTCATTGCTTCTCTCCACCCAGGAGTAAAATGGGTACCTAGGGCAGAGATGGTTACTGAGATTGAAATAGCTTCCTCGCGCCTAACAGGCTGCATCGAGCTGTATACTCCCCAGGGAGCTGACATGGTATTTGAAATGTTTAATTGGCCCAATGATCAAGGGTAATAATAATGTAAAGCTCTTTGATCTTAGTTCAAAGCGCTATTATATATAAGAACCCGTTATTATTATTAATATTATTATTATTTTGCTCCTTTTTTTGGCAAATCAATTAATACACACACAGAGACAGTAGCTTAAAACAGATATTCCGTTGTAAGGTGAAATTTTGACTTCTCTGAAGTACGGACCCATTGGTTGTACTGCGCATGTCTAAGTGAATGAAGATAGTGACAGGTCACGTGTGGGGTTAGAATCCATGAGGTAAACGATGCAAGATTACACAGGAGTCCGAATCTCAATTGACACCGGCTTGGCTGTTAACTTGAAATATTTCTATAAAAAGGATATATTATATTACGATAGTGGCAGAATTGTCCGGTTGTTCCTGGGTCGCATCGGCATTCGAAACGGTTGAGCATGTCAACGCACGTACCGTTCCGACACGGGGAGCTGGCACACTCATCGATATCTGCATCACAACACACCATATGAATATCAGTTAGAGAAACAATTCAGGTAAATAGTCCATCTTTCTTTTGAAATGCAACACCCCTATCCGGTTAGTCAGTCTGGCGTCACGGTCATTTCAACTTAACCACTTGCCACTGCACACGGAGTAGCGTTGGAATCGTTAGAACCAATTTTGCAAACGGAACTTCGTGTAGTACAAAGTGGCATGTGTTTAGCCAATGCAGGGCGCTTGAAATCAGTGGTGCGCGCGCGCGTATAATTACGCATGTCATTTACAAACCGTATAAACCAATGCGGGCACGCCATCTAGTACACAAAAAAACAACAGGTAGAAATATTTTGTTAATCAAATTTCCCAATCTTAACGGCACTTCCTCACCCCTTCCCCCAAAACAAATTGTATGTATTGCTTTTTAATTTAACATGTACATTCACTAATGTCTGTATTCACCTTTTTGACATCTCCTTCCGGTTGTTCCAGGATTGCACGTACATGTATATCCGTTGGGGGCCTCAGTACAGCTTCCGCCATGTTCGCATGGGGCGCTTTCGCACGCACCTATACTTTGCATGAAGGGAGAGAAAAGAAAATCTCAAAATGGTTGACATTTGGCTAAAGATTGACGCACTTTCTCTCCCATTCTTTATTTATAGCAACAGAATCATCGAAGATTTTGAACGTTGATAGTAGTTTCCCTATTGTCAACGTGGCTCGCTCGATGTCCAATAACAGGACTTTTCTAAATTTCTTTGAGCGATATGGGAATCTGTATCGACGCCATTTTCTGGATACAGACAAAAGATGATAATTTAGCTAAGGTAGTATACCAATCCAAAAATTAAAAAAAATAGCAAAATGGGATTTTGAATTAAAGGCATTACAGGATCATTTGCATTTATCAAAAAAAAGGGACCTAACAAATGATTATCTAACAGCTTATTTGTAAACGCCCCGTGAAATGATTCCGTCTGGCTTGCTGTCATTTCGAAGAAAGCAAGAAATGTAGGTAGTTTCCGACAATTAGTCAATTGAACATTTTGAACGAAGAGTGCTTTATTGACAGAATCGTGTTTCGTGATGAAAAATGTTTTGCTTGGGTTTTCTTTTCACTGTAATCTCGAAAAGTGTAATATTCACTGAGTTGAAATTTCAACAGGTTAGGCATTGAACTTTCTGTTATTATTGACGAAAACAAAATCCATGAACGGCTAATGATCCTTCATGCCTTTAAGCAACATGTAAACCAACGGCAGTTTGGCCTACATAGTATTTACGTCTGTTTGCAACCCATAATGACGGCGTTTTATACGACGCCAATAACTTGCTTAAAACATTATTACTCGGTGAAATATTTCCAAAAAATACACACCTATTGAGCTTTCACAGTGAACGCCTGTATAACCCTGCGGACAATTGCATGAATATCCGCTTGACACCAAGCTCACGCAGATTCCACCATTCTGGCATGGTTCTGACAGGCAGTGTGATAGCACATCTTGAGAGAAAATAAAAAAAGGGAAAGAGGTTCACAGTATCACGGTTTCTAGCATAACAAACATTTCCTACTGGTGTATTTGAACGTAACCAGATATCATTGTTGTAACGGAGACCAATACCATAGCGCTACTTAACAAATAGAAATAAAACTGCGCTGACTAAAACGGACATAACTACAAGACGAAGCAAGGCTACAGTAAAACTGGTCTAAGGGCGCACACAATTATATTCAACTGACTCAGAATGGCTTTTCACTGATAGCCTTCCATGGAGTTGGCGTACACAATCGGCAAGAGTTATGGAGTTACGCGGTAATCTTATAAGACAGGACTGCCCAGTTCACAAACGACAGTCAGTTTGAATATTAATATATGATTTGTGAATTATAGCCACATGTTAGGTAACGTCATAAAAACCTCGGATTGACGTCTGTTTGCTACCCATCATAATTAATTATGTCGTTATAGCGCCTTTGTTTGCTTAAAATCATGGCTTTTTGAAGTATTTAGTTGAGCTCCACAGTGAACGCCCGTATGTCCTTGCGGACAGGTGCATGAATATCCGTTTGGTTCCGCAGATTCCACGCAGGTGCCACCATTCATACATGATGATTGCGTGCAGTGTGATGGTGGTACATCTTGAGAAGAATGAAAAAAACGGAAAGTTCACAATCACACGAATTCCATCATTAGGCCTATACAACCATGGGCGTTACGAGGGGAGGGCAAGGGGGGCGCTTACCCCTTCCCCTGGAAAGCCAAAAAAAAAAAAAGATTGAAAGGGAAAGAAATGAACGAAAAAGAGGCGTGGAGTCATACTGCTATTAATTTAATGGGTTCGGGGGGGGGGGGGGGGCAAACGTCTCTGCCTTCCCCCCCCCCCTCGAAAAATGATAAATCCGTCGCAGAGCTGACAAACCGGCGAATCGACCATTTTGGCGATTTCGATTTTTTGTTATTTTTAGGCCTTATGAAGGTTGCTCTTTCAAGTATTTATGCCAAAATTCTTAATATTTGTCTGGATTTTGAGATTCAGAGCCCCCCTTGTGGCGAATCACTCACAAAAACAAATCCATAATTTGACATAGTGACGAATACGAAATTTCGCTGGTAACCAGCTTATGTAAGGTGTGCGTTCCAAGTACCAACGAATGTTATTCGTCAGTTTGTCGGATTGCGCGTGCGTGCACGCGCGATCCGACAAACTGACGAATAGCTACACACATTTCGCTGGTTTCTAGCATAACAAACATTTCCTACTGGTGTATTTGAACGTAACCAGATATCATTGTTGTAACGGAGACCAATACCATAGCGCTACTTAACAAATAGAAATAAAACTGCGCTGACTAAAACGGACATAACTACAAGACGAAGCAAGGCTACAGTAAAACTGGTCTAAGGGCGCACACAATTATATTCAACTGACTCAGAATGGCTTTTCACTGATAGCCTTCCATGGAGTTGGCGTACACAATCGGCAAGAGTTATGGAGTTACGCGGTAATCTTATAAGACAGGACTGCCCAGTTCACAAACGACAGTCAGTTTGAATATTAATATATGATTTGTGAATTATAGCCACATGTTAGGTAACGTCATAAAAACCTCGGATTGACGTCTGTTTGCTACCCATCATAATTAATTATGTCGTTATAGCGCCTTTGTTTGCTTAAAATCATGGCTTTTTGAAGTATTTAGTTGAGCTCCACAGTGAACGCCCGTATGTCCTTGCGGACAGGTGCATGAATATCCGTTTGGTTCCGCAGATTCCACGCAGGTGCCACCATTCATACATGATGATTGCGTGCAGTGTGATGGTGGTACATCTTGAGAAGAATGAAAAAACGGAAAGTTCACAATCACACGAATTCCATCATTAGGCCTATACAACCATGGGCGTTACGAGGGGGAGGGCAAGGGGGGCGCTTACCCCTTCCCCTGGAAAGCCAAAAAAAAAAAAAGATTGAAAGGGAAAGAAATGAACGAAAAAGAGGCGTGGAGTCATACTGCTATTAATTTAATGGGTTCGGGGGGGGGGGGGCAAACGTCTCTGCCTTCCCCCCCCCCCCCTCGAAAAATGATAAATGATATCGAGAATACGCTGGTACAGATCGAAAAGTACAGGGATTTTTGACAATCCAAGGGTTTGAATTGAGAATATTGTGCATCTTCTCTTACCGGCTTTAAGACCCCTTTGTAAGCTACCTCAGGGAAATTGAGTTTGTTCCCTTTAATTATCAACGTGAGACTCGCTTGAGATCCAACAATAGGTCTTTTCCATATTTTTCAGCGAATTGGAAATCTGTATCGACGCCATTCTCTGGATACAGACAAAAGATAGTATTGATATTTAGCAACCCAAAAAATCAAAAAAAAAAAAAATCGCAAAATGAGATTTTTGAATTAAAGGCATTATAGGATAATTTGCATTTATCAAAAAAGTAACCCAACAAATTATCATCACAAAGCTAACTTCTAATCACCCCGTGAAATTATTCCGTCTGGCTTGCTGCCATTTCGAAGGACGCAAAAAATGAAGGTTCACCATCTCATGGTTTCTAGCATTACATCCATTTCCCACTGAAGTATTTGAACGTATCATTGTTGTAACGAAGACCAATACCATGGCCGCTGCTTAACAAATAGAAATAAAACTGTGCTGACTACAACAAACATAACTACAAGACGAGGCAAGGCTATAGCAAAACTTGTCTAAAGACGCACACAATTCTTTTCAACTGACGCAGAATGGCTTTTCACTGAAAGCCTTTCCACGGATTTGTTGTACACAATGGGCCGGATATATGGAGTTACGCAGTAATCCTATAAGATAGGACCGCCCGGTTCTGTCACAAATGACAGTCAGTTTGAATATTAAAATATAATTTTTGAATAATATCCACATGTAAGGTCTGTTTAATGTCTGTTAATTAATGACATGTCTGTTTGCTACCCATTATGTGTCTAGGCCACTGATCTCTATATAAAGACTGGATAGCTAATACAGAGCCGCACAATGTACGAATTTGACGCCATATTGGTGAGACCGGCTGGTGATCTACAAAGGACAAGTTGCCGTTTTTATAGACAGCATGATTTCTTTTGTAACGTCGCGGTTCACTTGACTTATATTTTGACCACCATCACTGATTAAGGTTAACTACAATTTTTCTAACGTCGTGGTTACTAAAATGCCGCAAATATAACTTTTTCGGCGTTTTGAAATAATAATCACTACGGAAATGTGTCCCTTTTAGAACATCATAATATGTGTACGTGACCAAAATGCGCGTCAACTGTTGATACAACGCGCGCGTATTTACGCGTAGAACGTTCGTATTATACGCGGCCATCTTCGTGAGACCGGGGGCGAATTGGTCAATGTGCGAAGTCTACTGTGTGAATGTTGTATGCATATCCGCTATCCAGTCTTTATATAGAGATCAGTGCGCCATATTGGTGAGACTGGCTGGTGATCTACAAAGGACAAGATGCCGTTTTTATAGACGGCATGATTTCTTTTGTAACGTCGCGGTTCACTTGACTTATATTTTGACCACCACCACTGACCAAGGTTAACTACAATTTTTCTAACGTCGTGGTTACTAAAATGCCGCAAATATAACTTTTTCGGCGTTTTGAAATAATAATCACTACGGAAATGTGTCCCTTTTAGAACATCATAATATGTGTACGTGACCAAAATGCGCGTCAACTGTTGATACAACGCGCGCGTTTTTACGCGTAGAACGTTCGTATTATACGCGGCCATCTTTGTGAGACCGGGGCGAATTGGTCAATATGCAAAGTCTACTGTGTGAATGTTGTATGCATATCCGCTATCCAGTCTTTATATAGAGATCAGTGGTCTAGGCCCTACGCGAACATGATCAACTTTGTGCCGTAAGTCACAGCGAAACATATCTTCGCACATGCAGTTTTGGGACTCGAGTGTTATTAGCATTCGACTCGAGTCGAGTCGAGTCTTCTGATGAGTACGAAAGCCCTGTAGTGCCATCAAGTATATATTTCG